TACCACCTTGACTTGGATGGGATCCCCAGCAGTGTGGTTGGTTTCAGGCGATTTGCTCACGGGCACTCGACGACAGCTATACGGCTGACCTGAAAGTGTCTTCTGACTGCTGCTCCGTGAGTAAGGGGCTGCGACGGTAATGGAGTTTGCTCGTTTTTCGCCTGGAACTTCATTCTCAAAGAGTGAGACTTGAGCAAACGAAGTAGCTGTCACGACTACCTGGGAGGGCGAGAAACCAATGGTGGAAATACTGTTTGCGAAGTAACCCACATCTCCACCATTTGTCGTTTTTGAGAGCAAGCAGTCGCGAACCTTGTAGTCCCTGTGGTTTTGGGTGGAAATTCCTTTGTTGTTAGGTATTTGCGGAGAGAGACTTTCCCCCTGGCTCTGATGTCTCCTTTGCGCAAGGAAGAGGTAGATAGCAAAGACTCCAGAAAATTCACTAAGGACAAAGGCAACAATGCATAGACGAAGGGCGGCACCGTAGAAGTAGACGTACGTGGTCTCAATTGTGATAGGCCCGGTAATTGCATCGAAGGCCTGACTTACACTTCCAACATACAACACGATACCAATGAGTGTCAGAATGCCTAAAAGAAAAAAACAGTAAGCATACAAGGAATGTGTCTCTTCCAAAAAATAACAATAACCCAGCTACTAGAAGAGCATAAGTAAGCATGTCATTAAAGGTGGTCAGAAACACAGAGCCGAGTTTTATGCATCAAAGTCCATCGGAATTCAATTCGCTAGCGGCGTCCCCTTTTTCTTACCTAGATTAAGCAAGCGTTTTCAAACAGACAGTGATCGTTGAATTTGCACAGTGTTTGATAGGGCAGGCATTTTTGGAAACATATCTCTTTGTTCTTCCAGATAGCTCGTTCTTCCACCTCCCTCTAGACGTATACGGCTGGATTTTGCGAGAACTATTTAAGAAGCATGTAATATCCAGAGCAAATCCACCAGACTACTGTCAATGACGGCAAGTGGAAACTGGTGCGGAAAGTTCAGTTACAGTTTATTAAGAAATAACGGCCACTTTGGAAAAATTGAAATTTTAATGCATAGCTTTTTGAGGCAGATTTCCCCGCTCGTTTTCAGACCTGAGAAAACACTAACATGGCGAACTGTCCCATCCCTAAAAATGTATCTGAGCTTGTCTAAAGACAACTGAGGAAACACCAGATACAAGTGGCACACCAACCCGCAACCATCTTCGATCACAGGTTGTACATCCTAGGGACAGGATTGGCTATCTTGAAAGAAAAGGTGTTGTCTACAAGATCCGGTGTACCAGTTCTTATGTAGTTTATTGTAGCCAAACTGGGAAATGCGCCTAAACCCGCATACACCAACATCAATCAACGGTCAGAAGACGAGATTATTTATCCCAGGTGACCGTGCACATACTAGAAACCGGCCACAAATTCGCATGCGAGAAAACACGGATTAATGGCACTTATACAACTAGAAAAAGCCGTGAATTCCTAAAAGCAATACACTCAGACGAGGCATGCATCAACGGGCATACCGCATTGGTCGCCAGCTATAATAAATACCAGGCCAAGTTAAATGTGGGCGACCAACCACGACGGAATGACGAAGTGTATGTAACGCCTACTGGCGCAGAGTGACATAATCCACAGTTACCAATCAGTTTTACCGAATTGAGCTTCAACACCGAATAGGGATTGGGAAAGCGTTGCACTTGCTTATGGACTGGGAGTCCGTGAACCATGACTCAAGTAATTCTCTGCTCACACGCTTATCACATCCTGCAAAAATTTCAGCCTCGTCAAATTTAAATGTGTGGCCGAGTCTCGTCGAATGAGCCGCAACTTGAAAACTGGCATCATCTCGCCGTACTGGCCAAAGTAAGTTGCCACTTGGGGAACACACAGGACACCGTGTCGTTTAACACCAACCCCGGGGAACCAGGTGGTCGAACAGTCATTACTTCCAATTCCACCACGCTTGATGCAAGTTCAACAGGTTACGGCCCACATCAAGAAATCCACGCACAAGGGAGCAATTATCTTTAATCGTCGTTGTTATAACGGTGGCATTGAGTGGTCTCGCCGTCTAATTACGCCCGTTGGAATCCCCAAAGAAGAACACACTAAGAAGGGCTCAACGTTGGAATGCGCCCGGAAGAGGGCTCATTGCGTACAAAACCCGGAGTTGCCTTCTCGGGTGGCAGTTGCCACTACTTGATCTCCAGTGCGCTTTTAGTCCCACCTCGAGGCAAGCCCTGGCCATAAGACCGGACTGGCGGTGTCCTCGCAGTCCAAGTGCAAATCGCTGTG